TATCGCATCAACGAGGGCTCTCCATCCTCTCTCGAAAGGGCCGGTCCCTCATTCCGTCGTATGAGCTCCACGAATGGCAAGAAGCAGGAGGACCAGGGGTCCAACCCACCCAAACGGGCCAATTCCACAGCCGGCTTCAGGAGACCCAAGGATGAGCCTATTCGACAGAGACGCCATGGGTCAACAGCGCCAACACTGACATGGGTAAGTTCTACCACCGCTGAGTAGAGCGAAACGTAACGGAGTCTGAGTTGAACCCAGGCAGGGTCGACAAAGAGGAACCTCGACCCTTCAGCAGCTAGTTCGCCACTTCGGAGAGCGACGAACACTCCCCGGGGGGAACTCATGCGCTTCAGACTAGTGTTGGCCAACAACAAGGTCTTCTTTTGGCACTGTAATCGATTCAATGTTGACAGAACAACCTCTGGCTCTGAGTTCTCCACCAACTCCACAACCTCAGGTTGCCGAAGCTCATACGGAACCTCACCGGGAGGGGTAGTACAGTCCGCAGCAACGAAGCCTCGAGGAGGCTCCGGCATCCACACGCGTCCGCCATAGTCAATGTATCCTCTGATAGCCAGCCTTGCCGCGTGCTCTCGATCGCCGCTTTTGGTCAACACGGCCCACAACTGCTCCAGCTCTCTCACACTCTCGGGTCTAGCGGACGAGACAATGACATCGAGGAGCTTTTCCGCAGTAGCAGCCTCGGCAGCGCTTTTCTCAGTCCTTGCTCCCATAAGCCACCCCAGTTCACCACAACGCTCGAGCTCTCGAGCCATCGCTGATAGCCGTTCAGGAGTGGCTCTCTCGGCGAGTGCCTCCAAACACGTATCCCAGTCGTGAAGTTCCAAAGCCCGATCGAACAAATCGGCCACATCAATGCCCTGCAACTTCGCAAAGGTCATTTCGGCCTCGAAGAATCCAGCTTGACAACACAGTCTAACGCAGTGTTGTGGGAGGCTGCCACTAGAGCCCAACACGGAGGAGAGGGGCCCGTGGGCATCAACACATACACCAGTCAGGAGCTTCAGGACGTATGCTAGCTTCTCGGGAGTACAGCTATCGGCGTCAGACAGGATCGACCTATTGCAATCGACTACCGTGTGAGGGAATACGTATATGGTCAATCACATGTGTCGGTGATAATATGAAAATTCCGAGGAAATTTTGGGAAATTTTTGTTGGTTCCTACTCTTCTACCCGAAATTGTATGTGAGCTTTCACAGTAGAGAAGGAAAATCCCGAGCTCTACTGAGAAGAGCTACACCCAGTGAACGAGTGAGCGAAATTGGCACCAGTTTACCTAGCTTTGACGTAGCCCTCCGCTCTGCCACCTCGGAGGAGGATCGCCAGAGGTATCAAAACCTCCTTGGCATCCACTGGATACTCCATCAGGCGCTTCAAGAGCTCCTCCCTCGTCAGCCCTTCAGTGCCACACCGCAACACAGCAGCAGACGTGTCCACAGCGAGCTCGAGGGTGAGCGATGCGTGCAATTCACCCAAA